CTAAAAATATTCTATAATATACAGATATACACATCAAATTTATAACTCCCTTTAAACATCTCAAGCGCCTAGTTAGTATATAACATAAAAAAGTGCCTCTAATTATAGTAATCCATTGTAAGTAAGAGCAGAATAGAACTTACTTAATTTTTCCGTAGCAGGCGTTATTTCATTAGGGTCGAGTAGATTAAATAAATATTCTTCACTCTTGTATAAATGACGACTAGTAAAGTCGAACTGGCTTTTATCAGGTCCTCCAGAGTCAATATTATTGTTAATGATTTGGATCTTTGCTTGAGAACTCGATAATTCTAATAAATTTTTTTCATCATTAGGGTCGACTAGATTATATAAGTATTCTTCATTCTTGTATAACTGACAACTAGTAAAGTCGAACTGGCTTTTATCAGGTTTTCCAGAGTCAATCTTATTGTTAATGGGTTGAATCTTTTCCTGAGAACTCGATAATTCTAATAAAATTTTTTCATCATTCAACCATATTGTAAAAGTTTTACAAATTTCGTGTGCTGATGGTCGTTTTTCTGGTTCATCGTCCCAACATCTTTTCATTATATTTATGTAGCATGAATCTGTATCTTCAGGAATAGGTGGTCTGAAACCTTCAAGCATTATTTTTATTTTTTGTTGAGATCGTGACATTCTTGAATCATAAAATTCCGATATTATTTTTCCATATAAAATTTCCCACATAATCATTCCAAATGAATAAATGTCAGATTTGGCAGTGTATGGTTTTTCATTAAAAATTTCTGGTGCAATGTATGGTAAAATTCCACGAACATTTTCATCTTTATTCGTTAACGCTTTATTAAATGAAATTGAAAACCCTAAATCTGCTATATATGCGCTATTTAAAGTATCTTGTAAAATATTTCCACTATGTAAATCTCGATGAATAAGTTCTTGAGAATGGATAGCTTCGAGATCAGAAATAATGCAAAGCAATAAATTCAACTTATCTTTCCATTCTTGTTGAGATATCGGATGAAGATTGTCACGTAAAGACCCCATAAGTGCATGTTCCAAAACAATTACGTAGGCTTTAGAAAATTCATTTTTTGATATTTTTGATATGCCATAGCAGTTTAAAAATGAAGGATTTTTAATACCAATTTCACAATATGCGCTTAACTTTATATTATTAATTTAAAAAAGAATGAATATGTAAATTTATTAAAAATTTAAGAAAATCAAAAAAATCACCTCTTTTATAAATTCTTCATGACATTCATTTGATCCTTTCAGTAATTTAAGTACAACATTCATTTCTACATTTCGTTTTTGATTGACCCATCTAGCGAAATATACGTCACCAGAACCGCCCTCTCCTATCTTTTCAATATATTCAAATTGGTTATAAGGAATCCATGGTAACAAATATTTTTTCAGAACTTCTTTCAACTCGAAATCAATATCAGAATTTTCATTCTCCCATTCATTTTTTGCTAAGTTCCAATTACAGAATTAGATTAAGTCAATTCAATTCAATTTTAAATATTAATCGAATTTACCTGATAAATTAATTTTTCCACTAAAAAAAAACAAATAAAAAAAAACTAAATAAAAATAACAAAGGTAGAAAATATATAATTTATAAATTATACAGATGGAATCTATTACCGTCGATACCATTCATTAGCCTTTTGTATATCTCTTTTTATTCCTATTCCATTTCGATAACAATAGCCAACTTGAAATATTGCATCAAGGTCACCCATTTCAGCAGATTTTTGATAATAAATAAATGCTTTTTGCTTGTCATTACAACACCAATGCCATGAAGATAACAATATCCAACCTCATACATTCCAGTAGCATTTCCGATCTCTGCAGATTTTAGGTAATATTTAAATGCCTTATCTTCATCCTTTTCAACTCCAATTCCCTTTTTGTAGCAATATCCAACGTTATTCATTCCATCCGAATCACCCATCTCTACAGATTTTTGATAATAAATGAAGGCCTTATGTTCATCCTTTTCAACTCCAATTCCATCTATATAACAGTTGCCAAGTGCAAATATTCCATCAGCGGGATTCGTATTATTTCGCCGACAATCACGTTACCGACATAACACAACACCGACAATCAATTTACTGACAAACTTTTT